TGCTCTGAGCAGCTGGCAAAAGAATTTCTCTTCCTTCAATAGCTATTCCTCTTTAGAAACAAGCAGAATGGCGGGCACCTGGGAAGCTCTCCATAAATACTACCTATCTTCTGCATACCAGTATCTCAACATAGGAGAGGCTGAATAAGGTAAATTTCCCCAGATCCTGGAAGGTAACAAATGCAATACAGTGAAAAACGCTGGCTACAGAAGCCACTCCATTCCAGCTCTGGCAGAAAAGGTTCAGTGCACTTTTTGTCTCATCTAACTTTCTAGTCACTGATTTCAAGTTAGTCCAAATAGATCATTCTCGACCTGCACTCTACAAAGCAAGAAGGAGAGGGAAAGAGCACAGGAAGAGATGTGGATTTAAACTTTTCAAAATGCCCCCTCCCTTAAATCAGAGAACTCTTTTATGTAAATTACATGTTGACCTATAAAGATAAAATATCTTCAATTGACAAAGGTTCTTAACACCCAAGCTTTCAGTAAAAGGAATTTCTATTACTTTTCCATGAAATAATAATAATTTCTGTAAGTAGATCCTAACCTGTGCCACTTGAACCTATGGCTGTATGAAGTGTTGTACCAAGAAGTCTGTGAGTCCATGCGTACACTAAGTGCTGTAGGAAGACTGAGTAATGTCTCTCACTAATATATGCCATTGTTTTAACAGAAATAGAGTGCTGTTTTAGTTAAACACAAATTTATCTTCAAAGCATTACTAAATTACAACTTTTTGTCATTATGTATTTCTTCAGTCAAAAGATGCTAGAAAAATAAAAACTATTTTGCCTGAGGCCTGTCCAAGACAACCAACAAAAATTATCAATTTTAATCTGGCAAACCAGCAAAGCACACACATTTTTTAAGGCAGGCATTCCATTCCTACAAATGCACTCAAAGTGGAAAAAAAATACATATCCATATATAGATATAGATATATATATAGATATCTATATCTATATATATATATATATAGGCATATGCCCAAATAGTTGACTCAAGCATGTAAACATGTCCATCTCAAAGTTGTCTTCACTGGGGAAAAACACTTAGAAACTCATAGGAATTAAATACATATCCATATATAGATATAGATATATATAGATATCTATATCTATATATATATATATAGGCATATGCCCAAATAGTTGACTCAAGCAGGTAAACATGTCCATCTCAAAGTTGTCTTCACTGGGGAAAAACACTTAGAAACTCATAGGAATTAGTTATGCTCAGTGACCTCCACAGAGTTAACAATTTTCAGTCAATGAGAATGCAATTTCAACACAGGTGAAAGTGTTTGAAATAGAAACAAGTACAAGTTGTCTTGTAGGTATCTGCATGACTTACTCCCTTCCATCCTTCGGGCACTCACTCAAATACAACCATCAACTGATACCCACCTTGGCTATGCCATGTAAAACTACAATCCAGATCCTACATACATACCCTCTCTGCCCTTTTCCTATTTTTTTTTTAGCACATAATGCCATCTAACACTGTCTTATTATCATTATAATGTAAGTTCCATATGAGCAGGGACATTATATGAGCCTTGTTCAGTGCTAATTCTTCAGCATCCACGACAAGTCTGGCACACAGATAGCATTCGACACACATCTGCTAAATTAAAAATGTTAATTGAAAAAGCAGATCATATGATTATATACTACAAAAGCATATTTCTATATTTCTCTAAAAGAAAAAGTAAACATGCATACAAAGAAAAGTTCCAAAAGGAAAGACAGGGTACTAACATTTAACCAAATTACAAGGTTGATGGTGGTGGCTTTTAATATATTTAATGTTTTCTAATTTTTCTAAATTCACTGAATACACAATAAATTTTGGAGGTAGTTCCCCCTTTATTTTCAGAACTGAGAGCTTCATGTACAAGAAGGCTAAGAACCAATCTGATGCACAATAGATTAGACTGAAGCATTGGTTCTCAAAGTAACTCTAGAGAGGTTGAAACCAAATCCTTTACAACTAAGGGCACAGTCTGCAGCCAACTCATAATTTCTTACAAATCTCTCACTTCATCTTAAAAATTAATGCTGGTGTTTACTGCATCCTACAGAAAAATTTATCTTTGCTTATAAAAATTACCATTTAAACTATTTAATATCCCCCCCAAGGAAAAGAATTGAGATGTGTTAAGCACATGTACCAATCCCCCACAATGAATGTAATCACTGTGTACTGCAAACATGTACTAATAAAAATGAAAACTTTATAATTTTTAAAAACCAAATTAGTAAATTGCATGCATGCCTTCATATAGTCACAACTATTCTTTAAGTCAGACATTACTTAGTTTTAAAACACTTTTAAAGCAACATATTTTTCCCTAAAAGCTTTAAATAAGTTCAGTATTTTAATATCTAATTTCTGTCCCTGATTTTTAGTATCTATAAATCAAATCAGTCTAGGTATAAAGAAAACTAACTTGATATTTACTGCTGTATTTCTTAGAATTTGTTATATGTATACGTTTATATTTTGCATTAAAGATGATTTATTTATATCTAATTTCCCAAAAAAAGCCATTAAAAAGTCACCTTCTTAAACCATATGCAGTCATTCTATTCTTAGCAGCTGACTCTACCAAAAATTTATACACATTCAAAGCATTCAACACAGGTTGAATTTATGCACACAACACAGGTTGAAATGCAAGTTCCCATGGCAGGCATAAAATGAGAGGCACTTTAATTACATCATTCCACCAGGAAGTGCGCTCTATTCACTGTATAAAAATCATTCTGTTTCACCAAAACAGCACTGTTTACTGACTTTAGTAATGGTGACAAATTGATTTAAAGTTCAAACTTCCTATTTAAAAGCCAGGCTCTCTCTTCTGTATAATAGAATTTTTGCAGCATTGCTGCAATTTTATATCACAAGGATTGTGGTTTTTCTGACATATATTCGAGCAAGAACTATTATCGAGCTGGGCAGGGTGATGCAGGCCTGTAATCTCAACTATTCCTGTAATCTCTAATCTCAACTACAGGGGTAGGGAGAGCTGAGGAAGGAGGGTTTCAAGTGTTGAAGCTGACCTGGACTAGTGAGACCCAGTCTCAAAATTAAAAAAAAAAAAAAAAATTAAGAGGGCTGAGAATATAGCTCAGAGCTCCCTAAATTCAAACCCTAGTACTAATAGTAAAAGTAAATAATAACAACCTATTATAGGAAGGTACAGGGTTGTGCTTTTGAAATCAGAGTAAACGGGGTTGAGAGAGACCTAGGGAGGACAAAAACATAATCCTAGAGATGGGGGTAGGGAGAGACTTTAGTTGAAATAATACAGAATCCTTTTTTATGCTTAAACTTAGATGTTAATCAAAAAGCAAAATATGGATGACTTTACAGCTGTACATCAAGGAGTTTATGAACAAAAACATAATTCTCAAGAAAATAAATTCTTAGCCTTACCTCCACCCGGTTAACTAGGGTGATAGGTGCAGAACTAGAAAGAGCTTCTAATAAAATGAGTGGGATTGAGTAACCACTGCTACATGTTGATATTCTGACACACTGCCTCACTTTCCTTTAACTTACACTAAAGATATTTCTGAAAGGCAGATGCAGACTCCTGCTCCCCGCCCCTTTCCCATCGCAAGTTGCCTTCTCTCTCTTCTGTAGGAGAGGACGACTCTTCACAGCCCCTGAGAAATGGCTTAGACAATAATACCGTAGGCCCCTGCACTTAGGTAGGAGATAGGTGGAAGAGGGTAAAGGGTTGAGCACCGCGACGTCGGTATCTAGGAAACAATTTGGCCTTGAACAGAGACATAGATGTGCCCAGAAGCACACACCCCCACCCGCCAGGAGTCCGCTCTGGGAAGGGCGAACAAATATGCCCGGGGTACTCAAGTTGTGGGAGGAAGAGAAACTCCGTAAGGTTTTGTATGGGTGAAGTCTATTTCTCTAAGCCTGTAGTCATAAAAAAGACGCAGAAAGACTCCGGTCCTAGAACTGCTACTATAATAGTAGCAGGGACGGAGCCCAACAAACTTTGGGACCGGTGTGGCAAGCTCGCCCTCGAGGCCACTCCATTGGACTAAGGGGTATTGACTCGGAACAGTTACTGGGGATTCCTACAGGGCCTAACAATAGACGGAATGCGAAAGAATACTCCCGGGGAGCGACTCTAGGAAGCCTGGGTAACTCCTGGTTTCCAGGGTGAAGGAATTTTCTTTAGTCATTCTTCCAACTTTTCCCGCGTTAAAAAACAAAAGAGTCACGTGTCATAGCCGAACCAATAACACTCGCGAATGCGAGGCGGAGCCAGTGAGGGGATACCTCACAAGGCGGCCCCCGCCCTCGGTCCCTGATGGTCACCTGAAGCGGAAAGCCCCGGCGCGCCCAGCCGCAGGCCCTGTTCTGCCCCTGGCCACGCCGCCGCCATGTCGGGGCTCGCGAGGCTCCTGTAGGCCCAAGAAGCGGTGGCAAGAGGGGCGACCGCGTCCAGTCGCCATAGAGACCTGGCTGGTACAGCTTCGGAGCTTGACCGCACCGAACAACACCGCCCCCTGCCCCTTGCGCGCGTGCGCAGACGTGCCACAGAGTTTGTGCATGCGCACTAAACATTCTGGAGGCGAGTCCTTACTGGAGCTCGGGAAGCCGCATGTAGACACTTCCGGTCTAGATGCCGGGCCGGTCCCCGCTCTACGGACTCAAAGGATGCCAGACGCCACACAGCAGCGGAGAGTTTAAGACACACGGGCCTGCTTTGTGCCAACCTCGTTCGTTACCACTTGTATAACTGAAATTCAGAAACTAATTTGTCCATAAGTATAGTAAAACTAAGTAAGACGGAGGACTGCCCAGATGGCATAGTCTTCAGAAAAGTCACTAAAACGCGGTTTTACAGCTGCTCGTTTAATTTTTGCAAGTTCTGACTGAACAGCCCAAACGGTGAGGAATAACTTCAGCCACAAGGCCCCGCCCCATGCCGCTAAAAGGAAGACCAAAGTGTTGGCTGCTACCTGGACAGAGGCGTCTGGGAGGGGACGGGCTCTGGCTGCATTGCATTGTGGGAGTTGCAGTCCCTCCTTCCTTCCGCTCTGGGCCCACTCGGTTAAATTTAAAGTCCTTAAACTTCGCTTCCCCGAATGCCTGCAAGATTCCCGGGCTGCTTTGCGAAGGTGTGGCGGGGGAATGTCAGCATGGGAGGTAATCCGGACATTTTAAGTCATATAAAGAGGACAAAAGGGAGATGAACATTCTCTCGAGAGACTTTTTATCAGTATAAACCTAAAGCACCTGTAATACAAGTGTGTGAATTTCAGCCCGTGTCTGGCTGGGTGGTAAATCTTTGCTGATTGTAGTTAGCGTCACTACGCGGAAGTTTTCTTTGAACATGACTTGTACTTTTTTACGAGCTGTACAGTATGCAGAGAAGCTGCACAGATCCTCTGGGAGTCGACTGTTGTTGCCGCACTTTGTGTTTAACAAAGCTTGCTTTACGACTGAGCCCAGTTTGAGATGGGGGCTTCGAGAGCAGAAGAAAATGGTGCGACCTGGATCTTTCTATGAGGTCGCCCAGAAAACTGTCTGGACGCAAGGACCGCGACCCCAGAAAGCAGAGGACAGTGGCAAGCAAGTATCTGTGCGCAGAGGTCAGAGAGGGGAAACTGCTATCCCAACGACTCAGAAAGGTAAAAATATTTGTAGCGTGCAGTCCTCCATCCAACCTGAGGAGAGCTGACAGTGACCCTTTTTTGTCCCAAGTTTACAACTAAATTGAAAATCAGTTCACACAAATCAAAAAGTATGTCCGTTAAAGACAGTTTACAACTAGAAAACATAGACCTACAATGTTCATAAATCTAAACTCGGATTTGAAAGTTGATTTTGATATAACTATTGCATTGTGTCTAGAAATTTTTTATCAACTTGTGTTATGCATATAAGTAATGAGTAATTGAATGGTATAAATAGAAGAGTCATTTGTAGTTTTGTAGTTCAGCTCGATAAGCTTTTCTATTGAAAAACTAATTTTTTTTCCAGATCCTGAGTTAGATTTCTATAGACTACAAAATTAAAGATGTCTAAACATTCCTTTTCCTCAGACACTTTGGGTGCAGTAATTGAGCAGGGAGAATGAAATGTTATTTTGCTAGGGAAAGTGAGAGATGTTTTCAAAAGTATTTAATTTTTTTATTTCTTCATTTTACAAGTATTTTGTAAGAATATAACAAAAGGAGGTAAAGAAAGCAATTCAGACCCCCATTATTATACCACACAAAGATGATATATTTTAGTTATTTCAGTGTATATACTTTTTCGTTTTAACATAAAAACTGATATTCTGCCAGTTGTTTTGTAATCTGCTGAATATGTTAAAAATGTAATCCAAGATTTCATTTATGATAGTAGTTCAGCACAAAAGAATAGCCCATATTCTCAGGTGAAAGATATAAATGTATCACCTAGCTTGTGTGTTGGGTCATCTGGCTGAAGCAACAGGGCTGTTTGCACTGCAGGCTGGGCCTTCTGCAGAGCCCTTTCTTCTGCACCCCATCCAAAGGGACAGCCTTCCTTCCTACTGACTCAGTGAATTAGTGGGAACAGTATTCCCAAGTGTAGAATGTGTTGCCTCTAGAAACTAAAAAGTTCAGTCAAGCTTTATGATGAGAGCCAAAGGATACAATAGTTTGTCTTTTACTTGGGATAGGTTCTCCCAACATGCCTCAGAATTTACCCCTGCAAGTCTCACAGATGGTTCAGAGGATTCTTATAGGGCCCATCTCTCACATTTCAAACACACACCTTACCAAGCCCTCTGACACACTTGCAACTTGTTCCCTAGCACTAATGTGGTGACATTGATATAGTAGACAGATGTGTTACTCTGCTTAATGTCCAGAATAGCATCTAAATAAAATTTTCTGCAGGGATGGAAATATTCTATATTTTTTCTGTCCAGTATCGTAGCCACTGGCCACATGTGGCTTTTGAGTATTTGAAATGTAGCTAGTATAACCAAGGAACTTAATTTTAGTTAATCTAAAATTAAACTGATTTAACCATAAGTGGCTAGTTTTCAGTTCCATTTGACTATATAAAGAGCCTGGGAGAATTATCAAATCCTAGGTGAGACCACAATGCTGCTGTCTTTCATGTTGCAACTACCAGTGCTCCTGCTTTTCAATAGAGATATAAAGCATCCTTCAGCAGCAGTACCAGGAGCCTGTGTAATGTAATTCCATAATGTTCTCATAACTGGCATTGTATTTATGCAGAGGCTACCTCTTGGTTGATTGCCTTGATCTACATTTGTTCTCTAGCCCTTATTTGCCCTTATTTAGTTTTTGAAGGGGAAGACTGGTGACTTAAATAGGAATATGATGGCAGCACCATTCCTGTATCATTGTCTTTAACAGTAGCACTATCAGGGCTGGAGATTTAGTTCAGTGGTGCCACTCCCTGCCTCCCAAGCACAAGGTCCCACGTTCAATCCCCGGTACCACCCTCCCCCGAAAAGAATAGCACTACCTGTGCCATTCCTTCATAGATGTGATTTCTTTCTTTTTTTTTTTTTATTAAACACTGTCTTGGTCAGCAGGAAGAATTTCAGTGGCTTTCATTCAACTTTTCCACTGTGATAGCTGTACCTCAAAGTAACTAAAGTAGGGGTATGATTGTTCTTGCTATTAATGACTATACAGTATCCATTCCAGTTATTATTTTTTAAATCAAGGAATTGACTACCAGCAAAATCCCTGGATCCAGCTGTAAGTTTATTACATGTGACTTTTTACACAGCTCCCTACACACCTAACAGGGATTTCACTCTTTGGATGACTCTGGATCTTTGGGAGTTATTGTCAGTGTGGACTCTGTGCCCAAGTAAATGGCTTCCAGGTCTGAAAACTTGTTCAGGACCACAAAGTGTGATAGTGATCATAAGTTTACATTAGAGCAGTTGCCTTCAGCCTCTTGGTTGTCCTTAATTAATTCTCATGATTATGTAATTGAGCAGTATCCTTACCAGCTGCCCATTAGTCTCGTCATTGGTAACACCATGTTGTTGTAATCATCTGTGTTGCTCTTTGCAAATCAGACACCCTGGCTGCCACTCATCCTTACCATTTGTTAGGATAGTTGTACCTACCTGGCTCCTAAATGTTAAATACCATGAATTTGTCTCTCTTTCAGGATTCTTTCATCCCCATGCTGTGAGGGAATCTTGCCCTGTAAAGATGTAATTATGGCTTCCATTTGGCTTTAGTAAAGTGTCCTCTAGGCCCTCCTATGAAATGTGGTCAGCTAGTGTGGTTTGAGACTATCTTATATCTACTCTAGTGTGTCCATTCTCGGGCTGGTGTGCCTTTCTCCAGTTTACTATGCCAGTTCTGTCGTTTTCATTTTCATTTAATGTGGGCCATCGTTTCCAAGTTTCCAAGAGGGAACCTACCTATGTATCAGTTTTCTAGGTGCTTTCTTCATTGGTAAATTCTTCATCATTAAATAGGGCGCCTTCATGCAGATCACCTCTCACTTTGCCAGGTTTGTAGCCTGTGCTCCTTGATAAACTTTTTTTTTTTTTTTTTTTTTTTTTTTTTGCGGTACTAGGGATTGAACCCAGGGCCCAGACTGAACATATCCCCAACCTTTTATTTACTTTTTGTTTTGATACAGAATTTTACTAAGTTGCCCAGGCTGGGCTTGAACTTGGGAACCTGCTGCCTCAGCCTCCCAGAGTATTGAGTTTACAGGTTTGCGCCATCACGCAGTTCCTTGATGCCCTTTAAGGGAGAATCGCATACTGTGTATGTTTTCTGAGCTCCTTGAAAGTATTGTTCACTTCTTCCTATCGCACACCCAGTTCTGTTGTCCTTGGACTAGAAGGGAGAAAGGTGGAGAGACTTCCTGCGGGGAGCACACGTCTTGCTAGGCAGAAATATCCACCTATTTACTCATCAGAGAGGACATGCTAACCTTTAATAAAGAGGAATAAGTCACTTCTTTAAGCCCAGAAGTTTCAGAAGAATCTGAAGATTGCATATTTTTGAGAACATTACCCTCAGTATTTCAGTACCAACTTTAGGTTACCTTTCTGCCCAAATCAGGACCTAGTCCTCACATTGAAGATTTGGTAGGCTTGAAATACTGGCCTATCTGCTGCTTTGATGCTCTGAGCCTGACACTCAAGCCTTTTCTTTTTCTGAGTGCAGCCCATGAATTTCTTGTGGCATCAAGGAAGCATCTGCCTTTCTCACTTCACCTTCACTGGGGATTCCTCTTATCATCCTTCTCCACGTCCCATCCGTAGCCACTGTCCTAAAATTGCTTATTCCTCCAAAATTCCCAAAATAGCAACTCCCAGTGCATTCTGTCCAACCAGGATGGAATACTCACCAGTCTTGGGTAACAACTGCAACATTTTTAGTACAGCTGCATGTTTGAGCTTAACAGAGCTCCTTGTTGCTGGCAAGTATCTAGTGATTAAACTCCAAAGTCCCAATTTGGAGCTGCTTTCTAAGACCATTCCGTGTAGCATCTCGTCTAGCTCAGCTTGCCAGGGACATAGAAACAGTGAAATTTACATAAAGAGGTTTCTTGTCCAAGCACATATTGAAAGTCAGGGGAAGTAGCATTTAGCAGAAGAAGGAACTCAGGTCCATTTGCAGTTGGGGCCTCAGCCAGTCCTGAGGGAGCTCTGAGTTTGGACAGGCAGAGGGAAGATCTATGATAAAGTGAAGATGCTCTTTGGATAAAGAGGAGCACAGCTTTGAACAGGCAGCTACTACTCCCTGCAGCTGGGGACACCACTAAAAGGCAGAGAAACAAATGGATGAGGTATTTTTTGTTTTATTTTGTTTTGTTTTTGCTTGCTTGGTTTTGTTTTTTTGGTACCGGGGCTCGAACTCAGGTCCTTGCATTTACAAGGCAGGCAGGAGAACCACTGAGCTAAATCCCCGTCCCTGCTTACTTGTTTTTAATGAAATTACTAGGTCTGAGAGGTCAAGAAGAAGAAGATAATCGATAAGCAATTTCCATTGGAGACAGCTGTAAAATAATAGTACTATCAAGTTGGAGCTTGAGCACACAGCCAGCAGTTATTATTGGTTGAAGTATATTAGGTATGTTTCCATTGCTGAACACAACCAACATCCACACATTAAAGTAGGAGTATTATTTGGCTCACACTCTCAGCCAATGGTTCGCTGGCTCCAAAATGGGAATATCATGGTGGAAAGGTATGGCAGAATAAAGACGATTACTTCATGACAAAGGGGAAGCAGAGCAGAAGAGTACCAGAGAGGAATGAGCAAAGAATCAGACATAGATCTCAAGGCCACACCTCCATGATGTACTCATGCACACCTAGAAGTGTGCTTCACCAATCCCCAGGATGAATCCCAAAGCCAATGAGGTTGAAACTCCACCTAACCGTCACATGTATTTTATGGCATTAATGGAGAATGCAATGAGATATTGTCAGAGTAGGCCTCTCGACACCTAAATCTGAGTAACAAGTTTGTGGTGACAGTCATTAATTAGGTTAGTCTTGTGAATTATACAGATTTTAACAGGTGCATATTTTGAGTGTTTGAATCACATCTTTTGGATTTGGAATATATACTGAAAATTTGAAGAATTGTGCCATACTAAAGACTATTTTTAAATAAAATATTGTAAAGTAATAGAAGTTTGATACAAAGAGGAGCAAACAGTAACAAACTCCTAAAATTTTGCTTTTCTGAAAAGAATTGTAAGAGATTTATATTTAACAAATCTAGGTTCCTAGCCAAACATGTTGGTATATACCTATAATCCCAACACTTTGTTGGCTGAGGCAGGAGGATTGCCACAAGATTGAGGCCAGCCGGGGCTCCACAGTGAGTTCAAACCCACCCTGAACTATACATCAAGACTCTGTCCCAAAAAACTAAAAAAGAAAAAAAAAATCTAGGTTTCTAATGTGATAAATTAATAAATATGATATCACAGGTAATGTACTTTTTCAGCATCAATGAAATAACTATAATTGTAGCTTTTGCATATATGTGGAGATAAAGATACCTATATTATGTACCTACATATATACAGTGGTACCTCACTTCAAAAACTTAATTCTATGATTTTGGAAAAGATGACCATGTTTGTGTTTATGTGGGAAATATGGCTGTGGTCGTGTTTGTCACCTAATGCAGAGTTTGCAAACAGAAACAAAATTTTGTCAAACACTTCTGCTTGCAGACCAAATTGTTTGCAAACAAAAGGATTCATGAACCAGTGTTTCGATTGAATTTTTTAGCCAGAATTTCTCTTTAATTCACATGTACATCTCTTATTAGTGTGGAAAAAAGTAAGTGCATAGTATCTTCTGTGTGGATTCTTTATCTTCTAACCTTTTTTAATTCCCAAACCTTCCTGACCAAGCAGATTACAGTTTTGAATTCAATTCTCTTTGTATTTTAAGCACCATTCAGTGGGGAAATAGGAATGATGGCATTTGGGGAGGTTAATATGCCCAGCAAGCCTGGGTCCACTGTTTCCTATCCACTGCAGTTTTTCTCACTCTGAGGGGACTGCATGTATGAGGATCTCTTCTTCCTAGAAGTAAGGCAATATTAAAGTGATAACATTATGTAAAACAAAAATAGAGATTCTTACGCCCTGCTCCAAGATTCTCTTGAAGCTGTAAAGCACAGGGAGATTTGAGAACAGCTACTGAGAATACGCTGGCACCACCACTTTGACCCTGACTCTGCCATGTCCTGCTAGAAATGCCGAAGCTAGGAGCTAACTGGTTTTTGACAGGCAAATATGTAACTCATTGTCATTCTTTCTTTTGCAGTGAAAGAAGCTGGACGAGATTTCTCCTACTTAATAGTGGTACTCATTGGAATCAGCATTACAGGTAGCAAAAACAGCATGTACAACACTCCTGAATGTCTCCTTTACTTAACTTTTCATCTTGATCTTGCTTTGCTTCATCTTCTTTTTCTGTGATTTTTCAGGTGGCTTGTTTTACGTGATTTTCAAAGAACTTTTTTCTTCATCCAGTCCTAGTAAGATATATGGGAAAGCCTTAGAAAAATGCAGGACACATCCTGAGGTTAGTTCTCTGATAAGAGGGAGAATATTTTGGGGAGGCGGAATAGGAAGAATTCAAGTACCAATTCTGAAACCAGTGAAATGCATAGCAGTGCTACTGGCTTAATTCTGATAATTTTATTAGGCCTTTATTCTATATTTTGAAGCACTTTAATCACAAGTACCCAAAGGTCAGTAATGGATGTTTTCATCCTAATTGTACATATATTTTTCAGCATTTTCAAAAAACAAAACCCTATAAAATAAACACAAAGAATGAACTATTATTAAGGTGATAATTTGCTACCTAAAGGAGCTCTATGAGTAGTTCTTAAACTTTAGCAATTCAGTTTTTTGCAGTGCATTTTTCTTAAGGTCCCACTCTGCTGGTTACCATTCCTGCTTGAAAAATAGAAAATCCTAATACTCTGTTACCCATATTTAATATTAAAGTAAATTATTTGGGTAGTTGCTCTACTTGTTTTAGCAAATATCTATCATCTTTTGATTCATGCAGGGAAGTTGTAAAGATACTCAGCAAAATTATACCAAGTTGAGGGTGAAACTATCATCAAATTTGTATTTTTTAGAGAAGGTTCTAAGTATTTGCTTATTTCAATAAAAACTACATTGCTACTTCATGTGAAATTTTTTAAGAATTACAGGTTCACAGGCTGATTTTAAATGCGTCATTGTTACTTGGTTTTTTTCTTAATGTGTTTAGTGTTTTAAAATGCCATACTGATCATAGCTTTTAGTATTAGACCCGTTCATTAAATTTTCATTAAAAGTATTCAGACATTTTTGTCTTGAAACCATGAGGTACTGATAGAGAAATATTTGGACACTTTGTTTTTGTAAAAGGAATGGAAAAGCTTCACTTCAACCTACACTGTTCCAAAATTACAAGACACCATAAAGTTACCTGTTTCCATCTCTGTGAATGACATATTTGTTTGAATTATCTATGTGGTGATTTTTGCATAATAATTTTTCCCCCTAGTTTTCTTATTATTGGAGTCACCATTTTTGAAAGGACCCTAAACTTACTGATTTCTTTTTTCCTAAAGTACCTTTATCAGAAAATATTTTCATAGAAACTTGTAAAAACAAAAGTACCACTAAAAGTAAGCATTGTCTTTATTCTGCAGGTAATTAGTTTCTTTGGTGAGCCCGTTAGAGGCTATGGGGAGATGACGAGACGCGGTCGAAGGCATCGTGTCAGGTACCATAGTCTGCTTGAAGTTAGAAAACTCAAGGATAGTTTCTAAGTGAAAGGAACTTTGATTTATGTTATTTCATGTCTCAACAGTTTTATCGAATATGTAAAAGATGGGCTAAATTATACACGTGTGAAATTCTACATTGAAGGGTCTGAGCCAGGAAAGCAAGGAACAGTTCATGTGGAAGTGAAAGAGGTGTGAGAATTGGGTCATGAGGGATTAATGGTTCTGAGCACAGTGTTATCTAAGTTCTGGAAAGGGAAATAACACCTGGAAATATATTTTTTCAGAATCCAAAGAATGGTGAATATGAATTTCGATACATATTTGTGGAAGTGGAATCCTATCCTAGAAGAACCATTATCATTGAAGATAATCGATTCCAAGATAATTAAAAGAATCAAGCAAGCATACTGTTTCCCGGTAGGTGTGGAATGGTGCAGATTGATTATCTTCACAAATTTCTTCCAGAATCCATGCAGAAGAGTATATCACGTACAAAGGTGAATGTAATAGGATATATGATGCATTTAGACAAGCCTTTCTTGTGAATAATCATGAAATAGATCATAGAGCATATTTTGGTAGTGAATTGTCAATTATGGCAGTATTTCTACTCCATTTAATGTCATATGTGATAAGAAGTTTTTGTTACTGAAAGTTTTACACCATGTAAATAAAACAAATTTCAGTATTTTGGGGTTTTTTTTATATTGCATAATTATGAAAAGCCAGAAGGAAAAAATTAGAACTAAGAAAATATCAAAAACATTTTCCTTCCATATAATTTGGGATCTGTCTTAAAATAAACATATGAAAGTATTGGAGGACTATGATCAGATGGTAAATACATCATACAAAGGTTGTGGAAATTGTATGACTTGGGAATCTATTTCCTCTTTCCACCTCGTGATTGGAGGCACTATCTACTATGGAAGGAGAACACACCGCAGTATGGTGAACTGGCTCTTACTCCACCTGTTCTAGCAGATGTGTGGGCTGTGCAGGTCCTTCAGGCTCATTGGACCTCACGGTTCTCTGGTTGGCTTGCGACTGAGATGATGGGTACAAGTGTCTTGACTGTAGAGACACCATGAGGTGTCCCCAGCCCCTTCAGAACTTATGGTGATACTTGATGCTGCCAAGAGAATGCCAGAAATAAGTGGGAGTCATTCGTGTGTGTGAGGCCCTTTTTAAAAAAATATTTTAAAAATATGAACACTTTTATTTGAGGTCTTTCCTAGATAGCTATTAAAAAGTGACCTTCATATGCATAACTCAAGTGCTCTGCGTCCTGTTATCTGTGGAAGCTTCAGAATGGAGATTCCTCAGCACTATTTCTTTGTTCTTTAGAACTGACAGTGGAGGGGTTTCTGATGGGTTTTTGAGATCCTAGGATATCCAGGATAGAAAGATCTTCAGGAAATTTGTTTCCCTGTGTAGTTTAGTTAGTTCAAGTTTCGCTTTAGCTGATCTCTCAAGTGTTTTATTATTTTAATTCTAAAAATTTCACGCATTTAAGAAATATGCAGAGTATCAGAGCAGAACTGGTGTCTCCCTGAGGGAACATACTTTCATTGATAGGGTGAACTCTTAATTCGGTTAGGTCTTTCAGCCAGTTTTGTCCTTGCCAGTAGATTATTTCTTATCACTTATACAAAACTATTATTTTGTATGCATAATAAACTTAAAGTTTTAAATATGATATGATTTTGTTTTGGGCAACATACATATTGATTATCTGCATCTACCTAGCTCTACTAGTGATCTCATTCTAGTTTGATTTTATTCAACTGCTCATTGACATAACTTTATATCCAAAAATGTATCACCATTTAAAATTATATATAAAGGGCTGGGGATTTAGCTCAGTGGTTCCAGCACCTGCCTCACAAGCGCAAAGTCCCGAGTTTGATCCCCAGTACCAAAAAAAATGAATAAATAAATAAAATTATAAAAAGGCATTGTACCTTGAGGCCATAATATTAAGTGAAATAAACCAGACACAAGCTTAAATATCATATGGTTTCTCTTATGTGAAAAATCCAAAATATAAAGAGCAAAGTAAAAGATAGATAGTAGGGAGATAGATCTTTCTCAAATGGGAAAGGGATCAACAAATGGAAGGAGGGTGGAGAGAGGGGAAGGGGATTGAAAAAGAATTAAGATGTATTATGTACATGTACAACTCCCTACAAACTGTAATCATCATGTACTAATAAAAAGTATAGGTAAAATAATTACTGTTTCTCATAAACAATTGGTTATATCACAAAATTACTGAAATATGTCAGTATCATGAGAATTTAAAATCAAGGGGAAATAGGCCAACAACAACCAGAACACAAGAAAAAATACAAATAATTTATTTCTTATCTACAGTTACTAATGATGTTCCCTAAAACAAAAAACTTAGAGATAATTATATATAAACATTAACCCCCTTTTTTCTTTTTTTCCAGTACTGGGGAATCGAACTCAGGCCCTTGTGCTTATGAGGCAGGCACTGGAACCACTGAACTAAATCCCCAGCTCCATGAATCCATTTTAAATCACCTTAAGGAAAAATGTTTTTTATATTCTATGTACATGAGCAAAATAAGGTTCCCCGTGTATTTTTTTTATCTTATTAGAAGTTTCACAAAGTGACTAAAAGCAAGTGGTCTCTTCCCGAACAACTTAGTTTTCTAATTAACTAATAATAATATGAGCCAATTTTATATAAATCTTATAATAACAGGTATTGTTGAGGCAGTCATTTGATCAACTGCAATGATCAATGCTATGCAGAAAAGCACCTGATACTCGTTTAAAGCCCTGTATTTTAAATTAGTTGATTATAAGATAAGTAAACCTGAGTTTCAAATCTGTACATATTTACCTAACACACCTGCATAGCCCTTATTATGTACCAGTCATTGTTCTAAGCACTGTATAATAACTTGTTTAACCTTTGCAGCAACTTCGTAGCTACTTCCACCATTTCAGTTGTACAGATGAAGTAACTGGTACACAGATGGGTCACAAAGCTAATAAGTGGTGACGATGGAAATTTTTTAAATTTGTTTTTATTTATTTATTTTTAGATGGAATTTTAACTTAAGTGGTATTTTGCTCTCATCAGCCAATGCTATTTGAGATGCTCTTTCCTCTCAACTTGATTAAGGAGTATACGTGTCTTACTGTGAGGTTGGTAAGAAGAGCAAAGAATTTGAAACTGAAGCTAAGGAACATTTACAGTCGGGGCCTGAGAAAAGGATGAGGAACTTTCAAAGGACATGGACATGATATTCACAGATGGATGAGACAGATAAGGCAGAAAGAAAGATTCCAAAAAGTGGGAGATAACTAGGAGAATGGTGCTATCTGGTATTGGCTGAATCATGTCACCCTAAAAAATTTATATGTTGGAGCTTCCATATCTCTTACCCCCTCAGAATGTGATTTATTATATTTGGAGATAAAGCCTTTAAAGTGATTAAATTGAAATCAGAACATCATTATGGACCCTAATTCAGTTTCACTTGTGTTCTTTTTTTTTTTTGGTTTTTTTTTGAGACAGGGCCTCACTATGTAGTTGAGACTGACCTGGAACTCACTGTGTAGCCCAGGCTGGTCTCGAACTCACAGGGATCCTCCTGCCTCAGCCTCCTGAGTGCTGGGATTACATGCATGCGCCACCACGCCCGGCCTCACTTGTGTTCTTTAAGAGAACTTTTGAATACACAGTGTTACACCAAAGATGCCCTCACACAGAGGAAAGATCATGGGAGGATACACAGGAAACGGTCATCTGCCAACCACAGAAGAGGCCTCTGGAGAAACTAGCTGTCCTACTGACAGCTTCATCTTGGCCTTCCATCCATCCTCCAGAACCATGAGAAAATAAATTTCTGTTGTTTAACCACCAAGGATATGATATTTTGTCATGGCAGTCCTAGCAGACTAATACAACACCAAAACCAAGAAAAGACATAAAGAAAAGTGGAAGAATTAACCAGCTATATCAGATGCTGAAAAGACCATAAAGGATTATTCTGTATTCAAATTAGCATCATTATACATTCATGTACTGCCACTCTGGTTTCAGTCCTCTGCTTTTGAGATTCATTTAGCTTTTATATGTATGAGTAGAACTAGACTCCTCTGCTTAGAGAGAGCGATGGCCTGGGGATATGCCAGCTTCTTGGCATCTTCCTTCATGCTGAGCCAGTTGAGACAAGTCATACCTTCCCTCATAACAGAGATGATGTTTCATTGGCTCTGTTTCTAGATGAGGTATATGTAATGGTCAAGTCTCTGTAGTAACAACTCTAAATAGAAAGCAGGTGTGGTTTCTTTGTGGCCATTTCTCATAGGAACATTAAACCTTTTAACATTAAACCTTGTTACAGTAACATGAAATTCATCTTTTCCAGAAAAGTACAGCTCATCTCTCACAAAACAGGCAAAATCTTTCATGTGAGGATTGGATATTTTACCCTATGAAAGAATTAGACTTCAGATTACATTTGAAAATATGAATCTAGACAGCTGCTCCGTGACTTGCTTCAAGAAGCACAAGGAGCAGTGCAACCTTGAAACTCGTCCTGTTGAGAAAAAAAGATCAGCTCCTCCTGTAAAAGCTACACAGCCTGAGGAAAATAGAGATGATGATTCCTCTGTAGCTGATTTTCTCAATAGTGATGAGGAAGAGGACAGAGTTTCTTTGCAGAATTTAAAGAATTTAGGTGAATCTGCAACATTAAGAAACCTGCTTAATCCACACTTAAGACAATTGGTGGTCACCCTTGACCGGGCGGACAACAAAGCAAAGCTCATGAGAGCCTACATGCAGTAGCCTTTGTTTGTGGAGTTCGCGGACTGCTGTCTAAGGGTTGTGGAACCGTCCCAGAATGAGGACTCTTAGGCTAGATTGTTGTGCTCCTTTCCAAAGCACACAGCTTCCACTCAGAACTTGTCCACTGCTCTCCCAGGAGGCCAGCTGCTGTGGGGCCCTCGGCGAGGGTAGTGATGTCCCAGAGGCGGCAGACTGGCTTTACTCCAGGTGGTGATCTTTTTGTGAGGAGACCTGGCATGCACAGGGTTGTTTTTATTTATTTTTTAGCAGCGGCAAAGTTTATTTGGAAAATTAAAAGTGAAGAGTGAGCAAGAAACTGCAGAGCAAGCCTGGGTCAAGTAAAAGGAAAAAAGCGAGATAAAAGATCACCCTGGAGAAAGTAGAATGGGTTAGTGTGAAGAAAGCCATGATAGCTGCACATGGTTGTTCTAAAATATTTTATCTTTGGTACAGTTTGGGTAGACATCATAAATATCAAATTTTATACCCATGAGTTAAAAACTGAATCAATGTTAATAAAATCAAGATACGGTAGTTCAGTTGTACATTGCACTGTTCACTGTTTTAGTTCCTAATGTCATTGTTTTGAAGTTACATTAAATAAATCAACAACTTATTAAATTAAAAAAAAAGAAAATATGAATCTAGAAAACATTCCTAAAATTTCATTATAATTTACATTTTTTAAAGGTATATCTTAAAGTTTTTCATTAATCACACACAGATAGGACCTGGTGACATCTTTCTCCATTGCTATTAAATCTTTGGCCCTTGAGAGCTGCTTCCTTTTTATTTTTTAATTGACAAGTTGCATGTATTTGCAGTCTGTAACATATTTGAAATATTCTTTCTTCACTTTATCATGTAATAAAACACCTGACAGTTCATAAGTAAGATAACCATGTGCCTTTTCATCAGTATCTAACACTTGCCAAGTTGAAAAATAAATGGTCAAATAGTCTTTGGGGATTAAATGATCAAATATAACAAAAGCTAATTCAGAATATTGTGTAAAAGTGCAAGGTCCTGAGTTCAATCTCCAGTACCAAAAGAAAAAAAAACATCCAGAATATTGTGTAAAATAATACTTATATTAAAACTATCATCATCTGTATAAATTTGAGTCTTGTCAAAGTTATTTAAATAACTAAATAACAAATTTAATAACTTTCTTCAGAAGTTTATGAAATTTTAAATTTGGAAATTCAGAAATTTTTGGAAATTTAAAGATATCTTAGTTTCACATTAGGAAAAAAATTCTGCTTTCATCAACTTAAGTCCAGTGATAAGTAAGTCAAACCACGTGGAAATAGAACTAGGTATCTGATTGGCTTGTTTCAAAATTAAAAACTTTTTCCAACAAAGGCAGACAGGCTGTTCCACTTCTTAAAAACTATATAGGGCAACAGATACAATTCTTAATTTTTGCCAGGGAGGGTAATCATAAAATGTTATCCTATTACTATATAAAGTGTGATACTTTCCCTGTCCCTTTGGAGACAGGTGCACAAAATCGTATTAATCAGATCCTTTGTTCTGTGCCTACTATTGGTTCATTGTATTAGTCCATTTTCTGTGGCTACAACAAAATACCTGAGGCTGGGTTCATTTAGCTCACAGTTCTGGAGCCTCAAGTATGCCACGAGCATCCTCTTGGTTCTGGTTAGGGCCTCATAGTGAGTGTGAGTGGCAAATGGTCCATGCAGAAGAGAACTTTAGGGAAGTATTAGGCTTGCTTATAACAACGCATTCTCAAGGAAACCAATCCATTTCCAGGTGACCTGACCCAAGTGACCTGCATTAACCCATTTGTGGGGGTGGAGCCTCTCTTGACCTAATTACTTTCTAATAGACTCCACCTCTTAAAGTCCCACCCCCCCAACTGCCACTCTGGGGCCCATGCTTCCAGCAAATGACCTGTGGGGAACATATTCAAATCATAGCATCTATAAGTAAGCCTCTTTCATTTACTTATTTAGCTGTGTTTAAGTTCTATTAAATCACCATCTCAGTGAGGGTTGGGACCTTAACACCATGGTGACAGTAACTAACATCTCACCATGTAGCTTCCCTCACATCACATCCTCCTGCCTCCTGGGGTAACCACATTTATTATTGCCTTACTTTCCTCTTTGCATGATGGTGTTACATATATCCCTTAAGTCTTTTTACTTAATATTTATGTTATACTTACATTAATATTTAATTGATTAATTACAATTAATATATAGTACTTAATAATCCTTAAAATATTTTCAGTCAGTTATTTTCAGCTCTATTTAGTCTTAAGATTTACTCTTTCTATTTGGTATCATTTAGTCAGATTCACATTACTGCTTGCACTTCTAGGCTTTTGCTTTCATTAACAGGAGGCTATTTGGAAATTCTCACATTATGTGCCTGTTTTTAAGTATGTCCCTAGAAAAAGAGTGTGAAGTTATAGAGTATTGATGTTCAACTTTCAGAAATTTCAAGTAATTTTTGCTTTTGTTTGCAATACTGAGGATTGAACTCAGAACCTCACACATGAAAAGCAAGCACTGCACCACTGAGCTGTACACCTAACCTTGTTTATTAATTTTGAGGCAAGGTCTTAGTAGCCCACTCTCGCCTCAAACTTGCAATCCTCCTACCTCAGCCTCCTGACTAGATAGAAATACAGTCCTCAGCTCTTTGTATTCTTGACTATCATTTTCACTGATCCCTAATCATGTTTAATATCTCTTCATGTCATTTATTGTGTTCCTTTGTCTATGTGTTTTGCCCATGTTTCTTTTGATGTTTTTTTTTGGGGGGGGTCTTACTGTTTTGTAACAGTTTCTCATATTATTTAGTGGTAATCTTTGTTAATTATGCACATTGCAATATCATTTTTAACTTATTTTGCTTTTATATTGTATTTTTTGTTTTGGGATTTTTTTGTTTTGTTTTATTTTTTGTTTTGTACTGGGGAATCAAACCCAGGACGTTGTGCTTGTGAGACAGGCGCGGTGCCACTGAGCGAAATCCCTGGCCCTTTATCGTGTTTTTTGATGACCAAATGTTTTTTATTTCAATAAAGTCGAGGATAAGTGTATCAACCTTTTTTAAGTAAAAAAGGTTTTCTATCTTGTTTAAGAATCCTTTCCCAGGGCCAGGGATTTAGTTCAGTGTTGCTGCCATCTGCCTCACAAAGGACAAGGTCCTGAGTTCAATCCCAGGTACCAAAAAATAAAATTAAATAAATAAATAAATAAAATTTTTTTAAAAATAACCCTTTCCTAAATTTTTGTACAAGAAATTTAAATCTAGATTTAAAATAGATTTGTCTACATTGATTATGAATTTTTAAGATTTTCTTTTATGTATTTTAATCCTTAATCTAGCTGGAGTTGATTTTTTATATTGACAGGATAAAGTAGGGATTCAATTCCTTCTTTTCCAAATGGGTAATCATTACTTCTAGCTCCATTTAGTGAGCTGACTGTCAATACTAAAATCCCATACATTCACAGCTCTATTTTGGGCTTGTTTCTATCCTCTTTATTAATTCAGGCTAATAGCACACTGTTCAACTTCATAGTAAGCATTTATATCTAGTAAAAAAATATTCATCTTTCTGGCTTTTCTTATTGAAAAGTATTCTAACTAATATTGACCCTTTAACCACTTAAAATTTAGAATTACTTTCATCAAGGTTTGTGGAAAGCCCTTTGGAGATTGTTTGGTTGCACCACTGATTATGTAAAAATTTTAGGGCATAATTCATCTAAAGATATAATAATACTGATGTGGCCACTTGCCAATGCAAGGTCCTGAGATTGACCCCTGGTACCCCCCCAAAAAAATGACATAATAATGATGTTTTCTAAAAATTGCCTATCATATATCTAATGGCAGAACAAGTAAAACTTTACCTAGATCCTTTAAGGTAGAAGTGTGTTTAAAAGACAACAACAACACTACATTTCAGGCAAGACTATGAGTCCTGATATTTCCATATTTATGTCCACCTCAAGCACACATTCTGATTTAAGCCAATCATTGTGCCTCTCCAGCTAGAGCCTATAGAGCCCATCAAGTCTGGCCCTGAGTAAATGCCCCCTTGAGTCCCTAGTTTTAGATGAAATGTCCAGGTCTGCATCCATCTCTTCCACAGTTCAACATCCTCCAGCTTTCTCACCCCCTACTCTGCCCCACTCCTTACCTGCATCTCCCTTCATGTGGCCCTGGGAACCCATTTTGCAAACCTACTTGGCTTTGACCCAGAATCCCTTTCCTCTTGGGTTGGCATTGTTGGTCATTTTCAGCAATGAAATCTTTCTCCAAATCCAGCCAGGTCATCTGACCTCTCACCAAGGCATCCCAGCAAAGATGCTGGCAAAGATTTCTTCCCTTCAATACTATCTGGCCAGGAAAATGAGCTTTCCTTAATCATCTCAGACTGGAGAGACTTTACTCTGAGCTGGAGATGGCATCAGCCTCCCTGAGGAGTAAGTCCTGAAGAGCACCTGTGAAAGAAATGGTGGTAAAAGTTCTCTCTGTTTCCTGAGGCTACATCACAAGTTACTGTGTACTAGGTGGCTTTAAAAAACCCAGAAATTTATTGTGTCCTAGTTTGGGAGGCGAGCAGCCCAAAATCAAGGTGTGGCAGGTCCGTGTTCTTTCTGAAGTATATGAAAGAGGATGCTTCCTGCCTCTTGGAACTGCTACTGGCTCCAGGTGTTCCTGAGCTTGTGTCTGCATCACTGCTGTTTCTACCTTCATCTTCTCATGCTGTCTCCTTTCTGTATGCATTCTTTGTGTCTCTTACAAGGATGCACATAATTGAATTTGGGGGCCATTATGTAACCCAGATAAACAAATCCTCTCAAGTTTCTTCACATAGTTACAGCTTTTGCTATATTAAAAAATAACAGGCACAGGTCCCAAAGACTAGATAACTATCAGTAAGTCACCCCTAAAGTAGTAAGTGGCTCACAGTAATCTACTTCATATAAGCTTGGAACCAGGTGTTGGAC